TAGTTGGATGAATCTTATTGTGGCTAGCTGGTCCAGTGGCTAACGCGACGGTCTGGAGTTTTGGGACTCTCTGATCGCGGGTTCCATCCCCGCCCGTGGCATGGTTTGATTGTGCAGTTATTTTGACGTACAAGGTAAATGACCAGGCACTAGTTTAGTTGCCGACTTCAACTGACCGACCTCATGTGGGGGTACACACGGTCACTGTGTCAGGCTCTCAGCAGTGAACACATCCCTGGCACTCTTGAATATGTTGTGGTCTCTTGCATGTGACCTTAGAGTTTTCCTTAGCTGATAACTAGTCTGGATAATCTTGTGGAAGTCTCTCTTAATTATTACGGGTGTTTACCTTTGATCTATGTATAATTGTCCATATTAACGCGTTGGTTCTGGTTTTACTTCTGGGATGTTTATATTAAAGGAGTGAACTGTCCTTTTCTGGACTACATAAATTTATGTATAAAGATCTTGCTTATTATATTCTCAAAGGAATAGAAATTAAAGATTGGAGTATTTTACTTACTGAGTCTTTATTCTCCCACGAAAAAGAAGTGAATTAATGATTTGTTGCTAGTAAGTTACCTTAAATCAATATTGTCTAGATAAATGGTTGCCATCAACGAAGGTAACCTGGAACTAAGCATAACACTTTGGATTTGTTTTTGATATTTCCAACACTCTTGTGATACAGAAATAACAAACCATTTTGTGATCCATGCCAGCGGGACCACAAATGGCTTCCAGCATGACTTCCAGCAAATCACTAAAGGAGTTGAAATAAGACAACAGCAGTGAGATGCCCACAGCTTGTCCTGATCTCAACCTTCTCACCAAGAAGTGTGATGTTATGTAGGAGTATATCTGTTGCACACATATAACAAAAACACTACTGCCGTTTAAACAACTACGATGCATTGTAGGCTTATGACTTGACAATTAAAAAAAGTCTCTTGCACTGAAAAACTCCAGCCACCATTATGTCAACACACACGAAAAAAATAGTGCAGAGTGCAGCATAAGTTTGTAATGCAATCAAATATTAGTGTTTAAGATCTGAAGTGAATAAAAATATTTATTCACATACTATCACATGGACACTATTACCAAATTTCTTGACTAAAAATGGCAAAAAGGACATACATACCTGGGCGAATAATTGGTAGGTAGTTTTAAGTTAATTTTGACAGCCCGAAACGTTCCGTAAAACATTGGGTTTTATTTAATGTAGCTTATTCTTATCAGTCAATTCTGCCAGTTGTCTTTCGTACTATACTTTAGAGACTAAACCTGTCCTGTCTTGCCTTTGATTGTTAATTAGGCCTCGGGTACATAATATGCATTTTTTTTACAAATGTCGTGAGGAGACACAAGTGTTAGGAACACATAATGTAGTTTTATGTAAAAAAACACGAAATGGGTGGAAGGGGTGTGAGGGTTAGAACCTATGGTGAGCGAGTTGTAAAACTCCAGGCCAGTGCGTAAACCACTGACCTGGTACTTGCCTGGAGTTTTATGACACTCTCTCCATGGGTTCTAACCCAACCAGTTCCGTGGTTTGTTTATAATCGTGTTGTTACTATGTTATGTAGATTCATCATGGAGAAACCCAGAAAAGTCAAGCACCGATCAGACGAAGCATTCTCCAGGTATTTCACAGAAAACAGTTTGATTAATAAACTTCGGAAAATATAACTTTCTTAACTCAAAATCAAGTGGAAGTTTTCCTCCAGGTAAAAAACACCAACAGTAATATTTTAAGTGTGACCAAAACTGGTCACAAGTTATTGCACAATAATAACAACAACAACAACAACAACATTTGCACCTTCACAGTCTATACTAAAGAAAATAAAACATTTCATACATTTAGTTAGACACAACAGTTATCAAAGTTTGCTCCCGTTCAAAATTGTTTGATTTTAATCAAGGAAAAGTGCTAAAGCAGTACGGGTCATATAGCACCTGGGGAACAGAGGGCATTCAGATTTGATGTAAGCAAATCGAGGAAGAGCTCAGTTCCTTGGATCTAGAGCTACTCACCGGCATCAAGGCATAATAACACAGTAATGTAAAACTCTACCTGATCATTTCGAGATTAAAAGTTGTACACGGCGCCAACACTGTTAATAATCTTATCTCAGGTAGGACACACTAGGCTGCAATTTTTAAAACCTATCAAAATTTTTTTCTAAACTAGTATCCAGGAAACTATTTTGAAGAATGATCAATAAAAGTGGACAGATGCGCCTCCCCTCAAGCTCCCCCTCCCCCTCCTCCTCAAGCTTCCCCTCCCCCACAAGCTTCCCCCTCCCCTCAAGCTTCCCCTCCCCCTCCCCCTCAAGCTTCCCCTCCCCCACAAGCTTCCCCTCCCCTCAAGCTTCCCCTCCCCCTCCCCCTCAAGCTTCCCCTCCCCCACAGCTTCCCTCCCCCTCAAGCTTCCCCTCCCCCTCCCCCTCCTCCTCTCCCCCTCAAGCTTCCCTCCCCCTCCCCTCAAGCTCCCCTCCCCCTCCTCCTCCCCCTCAAGCTTTCCCTCCCCCTCCCCCTCCCCCCTCCTTCTCCCCTACCCCTACCCCTCCTCCTCCCCTCCCCCTCCCCACACACTTGCAAATTGTTCCACCACCCACAAAGGTCATACTGAAATGAAAAAAAAAATTCATTAATTAGCAAAAATTAAGATCGCTTCAAAACACAAATTTTTAATATTTCTAAATATTTTTCGAGCAGTTCTGTTCTTTTTAAAATTCTTTTCATTCCTTAGAGAAAGAATATTTAATGCCTATGTTCAATATAAAAATACTTCCACCTCAGGTACACCAACACTTAAGTGTCACTTAAGTGTCACTTATGTGTCACATACAAACAAGTTTAAGTTATATAATTCTCAATTTAAAACTCACATTGTTGACAGTAAAAGTCAAGTTGTCTTTGAAATAAAGGGCAAGGCAGTCTAAAGTGTGAATTTGAAAGTGATTTCCTATGAGGGGATAGAGCCACTCAATGTAAGGTCACTGAGACCATCCAAACAGAGTTGTGAAAGTAACATCTCGCGCAATTGCAGATATTCGAAGACCGAGTATATTCGGTCCTGCCCGTTTGGGGTATTACCATTTTTGAATGTTGCAATGTTGCAATTGTGGTAAAAAAACGAAATAAATATTTTTTAAATTTATATACAAGTAGACAATATAAAAAACATAAATGGAACTTGTTTCTGAACAATTTGTAACCAGTAAAAAAATAGAAATAGGAACTACTTATCAACAATGACACATTGCAATGGGATGCAACTTACAAATGAAATATTCCTGAGCTCCCTGAGAAAGAACAATCATTTCACATCACTAATTTTGCAAATGAAACTTCATGAAACAATTTCTATCTTCTTTATGCACAGATTTACTTTACATATGGCACAGCAAAATGAGGATGTGACATGATTATTCTTTTTGCTGCAAAACTGAAATATTCCTGAGTTCCCTGAGAAAGAACAATCATTTCACATCACTAATTTTGCAAATGAAACTTCATGAAACAATTTCTATCCTTCTTTATGCACAGATTTACTTTACATATGGCACAGCAAAATGAGGATGTGACATGATTATTCTTTTTGCTGCAAAACTTGCATGAAAGCAGCTTACCTAGCACTGGCCAGTGACCTAGCTGTTTATCCAGCCTCACACTGTCATCTGGCCTTTCTGCACGTTGGTACTGAAATGCAGATGGGTATTCCACGTTTGACAAATCGTCATTACTGTCAACCAAAGAAGTACTGGTGTGAATCTCGACTTCGTCTCATGCTGGTGCGGTTGACCTTTTGTCCTTTGGATCTTGCAGTGACAGAGATCTCAAGCCTGAATAGCTTCAGTGGTGTGCATGGCATGTTTAGTGACCTACAATCACGACAGTAAAGAAGCCATGCATTCACAACAGCAACATCCAAAACATAAGCAAAGAGCCGCATGTACCAACGCTTTGATTTCATTGGCGTTTTGTAAAGATGGACCAACATGTTACTTTTGTCGATTACCTCCCATGTTTGCGTTGTAGTTCTTGATGATGCCTGGGCACTCAAAGTGGTCTTTCTTCTTTGATGCCTTGTCATATCTTTCAATAAGACCCAAAGGATAAACTCCGACATCATTTGTGACTAGAGTCACAACTTTGTTGTCCTTCCATCTTACAAGAAGGATATGATCATTGCTTTGGAAATCAAAATAGCCCCTGGCCACATTATTCTTTTGCATTTCTTTCACAGGCATCAGTTGTGGCTTACCACATCTATTATCACGTATTGTTCCAGTGTACCTGCAGTTATACTTGTCTCTCAGTACCTTGACCAAAGGTAGACTTGAAAAGAAATTATCAGCATAGACTGCTGATGTTTTTCTTTGGTCAAGAGATGCTGCAAGTACAAGAACAATCCTGGAACTCATTGGGAGTTTATTTTCTTCATTTGACAGCTTTATGTGATGGTTCTCAAAGTTGGGTTACCTTGATACATCAGTATATCATGTATGATTCCATCTTCACTGCTACGACAGAAGAGTTTGAAACCCCACTTGTCTGGTTTGTTTTTGATGTATTGCCTTAGGTTTCCAGCTGTTTTACCCTTGAAAGCAACCATAACTTCATCAACAGACTGCTTGGGTGTAGCTGGAACTTTCAAGCAAGCTTTAGTTAGTCCATTGTAAAGAGGCCTTATTTTGTAGAATCTGTCATTATCCTTCTTTTGTGTGTTATCATTGAAATGAATGGTACGCCTCAGCAACCTAAACCTCTTTGATCCCATGACTTCTGCAACTTGAGTTATCCTACTTGCACTTCTCCAATAGTCCTCAATGGATGGCTGTACAGTGTAACCCATATGCAACAGAATACCTATAAACTTAGTCATTTCCTCAGAATCTGTTTGAAAAGTAGTATGTATGTCTTTTTGCCTGGCATACAAATTAGTTTCAAATGTAATGCCTTTACCGGGCAGGACCGAGTGTAGTCGGTCCTCATAACGTGGTTTTTTGCGCACGTCCTCCAACTCCCCCAGCGCATCTAGGTTCCCATTCTCTATTTCTGACCAATCACAGACCTTCCCTGAGTCGCCCAGGCTGAGCGGTGATGGCGGCTGCTCGCTTCCCATTGGTCGAGAGAGCAGAATGTAAACACTTCTACCTTGCCGGCGCCAAAACTCGTGTTTCTCGGTTGAGTGCTCCTTATATACTGAAGCATTTCACCCAATACAATGTCGGTAAGTACTGATTTGTGTGTCTAGTGTGTAAATGAATAGTTTAGCCATATTTTGATATATATATGAAGGCGTTGTGAAGCATATTACGAGTGCACCATGCAAATGAAAAAAGTGCAACAAAATAGGACCAAGCACAGTCGTTCCTGCCCTTTTAGGTGCAGTTTTCAAGTTTCGGTATATAAATATTTCCATAAAATTTGGTAGTGTATATATGAATTCAGTAATGGTCTGGGTGTGTACAGAATGTTTTTATTGTCCTTCCAGATCAATAAGAAATTGTTCTACGGTGAGTCCTCCAAGGATAACTCGAAATTTGTCTGTGTTTGGGATGATAGTGACTCAGATCAAGACTCAGATGACCTGGATTTCCTGGATAGTGAGGATGAATTCTTGCCACCAGATGCAGAGGTGTCAACAGATGAGGAGGAGGAAGCTGGGCCACCACCAAAAAAACAAAAATTGAACAAGAGGAAGAAACGTATTACTATGGAGGAATACCCTGATGAAGAAGTGCTTCAAGATGATCTTGCTTCTCAAGGAGACACCAAATGGAAGAATGAGGACATCCACAATGACCCTTTGCCTAAATATGAACATATAAAGCCTGTTGAAGTTAGGTGTGCGTATGATTATTTTACAGACTTTTTTACTCAAGACATGATAGACAACATTACATTTCAAACTAATTTGTATGCCAGGCAAAAAGACATACATACTACTTTTCAAACAGATTCTGAGGAAATGACTAGGTTTATAGGTATTCTGTTGCATATGGGTTACACTGTACAGCCATCCATTGAGGACTATTGGAGAAGTGCAAGTAGGATAACTCAAGTTGCAGAAGTCATGGGATCAAAGAGGTTTAGGTTGCTGAGGCGTACCATTCATTTCAATGATAACACACAAAAGAAGGATAATGACAGATTCTACAAAATAAGGCCTCTTTACAATGGACTAACTAAAGCTTGCTTGAAAGTTCCAGCTACACCCAAGCAGTCTGTTGATGAAGTTATGGTTGCTTTCAAGGGTAAAACAGCTGGAAACCTAAGGCAATACATCAAAAACAAACCAGACAAGTGGGGTTTCAAACTCTTCTGTCGTAGCAGTGAAGATGGAATCATACATGATATACTGATGTATCAAGGTAACCCAACTTTTGAGAACCATCACATAAAGCTGTCAAATGAAGAAAATAAACTCCCAATGAGTTCCAGGATTGTTCTTGTACTTGCAGCATCTCTTGACCAAAGAAAAACATCAGCAGTCTATGCTGATAATTTCTTTTCAAGTCTACCTTTGGTCAAGGTACTGAGAGACAAGTATAACTGCAGGTACACTGGAACAATACGTGATAATAGATGTGGTAAGCCACAACTGATGCCTGTGAAAGAAATGCAAAAGAATAATGTGGCCAGGGGCTATTTTGATTTCCAAAGCAATGATCATATCCTTCTTGTAAGATGGAAGGACAACAAAGTTGTGACTCTAGTCACAAATGATGTCGGAGTTTATCCTTTGGGTCTTATTGAAAGATATGACAAGGCATCAAAGAAGAAAGACCACTTTGAGTGCCCAGGCATCATCAAGAACTACAACGCAAACATGGGAGGTATCGACAAAAATAACATGTTGGTCCATCTTTACAAAACGCCAATGAAATCAAAGCGTTGGTACATGCGGCTCTTTGCTTATGTTTTGGATGTTGCTGTTGTGAATGCATGGCTTCTTTACTGTCGTGATTGTAAATCACTAAACATGCCATGCACACCACTGAAGCTATTCAGGCTTGAGATCTCTGTCACTGCAAGATCCAAAGGACAAAAGGTCAACCGCACCAGCATGAGACGAAGTCGAGATTCACCCAGTACTTCTTTGGTTGACAGTAATGACGATTTGTCAAACGTGGAATACCCATCTGCATTTCAGTACCAACGTGCAGAAAGGCCAGATGACAGTGTGAGGCTGGATAAACAGCTAGGTCACTGGCCAGTGCTAGGTAAGCTGCTTTCATGCAAGTTTTGCAGCAAAAAGAATAATCATGTCACATCCTCATTTTGCTGTGCCATATGTAAAGTAAATCTGTGCATAAAGAAGGATAGAAATTGTTTCATGAAGTTTCATTTGCAAAATTAGTGATGTGAAATGATTGTTCTTTCTCAGGGAACTCAGGAATATTTCATTTGTAAGTTGCATCCCATTGCAATGTGTCATTGTTGATAAGTAGTTCCTATTTCTATTTTTTTACTGGTTACAAATTGTTCAGAAACAAGTTCCATTTATGTTTTTTATATTGTCTACTTGTATAATAAATTTAAAAAATATTTATTTCGTTTTTTTACCACAATTGCAACATTGCAACATTCAAAAATGGTATACCCCAAACGGGCAGGACCGAATATACTCGGTCTTCGAATATCTGCAATTGCGCGAGATGTTACTTTCACAACTCTGTTTGGATGGTCTCAGTGACCTTACATTGAGTGGCTCTATCCCCTCATAGGAAATCACTTTCAAATTCACACTTTAGACTGCCTTGCCCTTTAATTCAAAGACAACTTGACTTTTACTGTCAACAATGTGAGTTTTAAATTGAGAATTATATAACTTAAACTTGTTTGTATGTGACACATAAGTGACACTTAAGTGACACTTAAGTGACACTTAAGTGTTGGTGTACCTGAGGTGGAAGTATTTTTATATTGAACATAGGCATTAAATATTCTTTCTCTAAGGAATGAAAAGAATTTTAAAAAGAACAGAACTGCTCGAAAAATATTTAGAAATATTAAAAATTTGTGTTTTGAAGCGATCTTAATTTTTGCTAATTAATGAATTTTTTTTTTTTTTCATTTCAGTATGACCTTTGTGGGTGGTGGAACAAATTTTCAAGTGTGTGGGGGGGGGGGGGGGAGGGGGGGGTAGGGGGAGGGGGGAAGGGGGGGGAGGGGGAGGGGAGGGAAGCTTGGGGGGGGGAGGAGGGGGGGGGGGGGTTGAGGGGGGGGGGGAGGGAAAACTTGAGGGGGAGGGGGAGGGGGAGGGGGTTGAGGGGGAGGAGGAGGGGGGGGGGAGGGGGAAACTTGAGGGGGGGGGGGAAGCTTTTGGGGGGGGGGAAGTTGAGGGGGAGGGGGGGGGGGGAAAACTTGAGGGGGGGGGGAAACTTGGGGGAGGAAGCTTGAGGAGAGGGGGAGGGGGGGTTGAGGGGAGGCGCATCTGTCCCTTTTTTTGATCATTCTTCAAATAGTTTCCCGGATACTGTTTAGAAAAAAATTTTTTATAGGTTTAAAAATTGAGCCCATGTTTTTTTTTTCTACCTGAGATAGATTTTTAAAGTGTGGCGCCCCTTACAACTTTTAATCTCGAAATGATCAGGGAGAGTTTTACATTACTGTGTTATTATGCCCTTTTCCGGTGGTAGCTTAATCCAAGGAAAGAGCTCTTCCTGATTTGTTTTATCAAACGAAAGCCCTCTGTTCCCCGGGGCTTTTACCCATGCTTTAGCACTTTTCTTGATTAAAATCAAACAAATTTTTTGGGGAGCAAACTTTTTAACTGTTGTGTCTAAATAAATGAGAATGTTTTATTTTCTTAGTAAGACTGTGAAGGTGCAAATGTTGTTTTTTGTTGTTGTTGTTATTGTCAATAACTTGTGACCAGTTTTTGGGCCACTTAAAAATTTTTGTTTATGTTTTTTCCCGGAGGAAAACTTTACTTGTTTTTTAATTTAAGAAAATTATATTTTCCAAAGTTTATTAACAATGTTTTCTGTAAAACCTGGGAAAAAGTTCGTTGATCGGTGCTTGATTTTTCGGGGTTTTCTCCAGATGAATCTAATAAATAGTACAACCGATTATAAACAACCCGGAACTGGTTGGGTTAGAACCCCCGGGAAAATGTCAAAAACTCAGGGAATACCCGGGCATGGGTTTTCGACTGGCCGGGTTTTACAACTCGCTCCCATAGGGTTTAACCTCACACCCCCTTTCCCCATTTCGGTTTTTTTTCATAAAATACATATGTGTTCCCAACATTTGTCTCCTCAGACATTTGAAAAAAAATGATATTATGTCCCCACAATTAACATCAAAGGGAAGCGGACGGTTTTGTCTCTAAAAATTGTCGAAAGACAACTGGGAGAATTGCTGATAAGAAAAAGCTACATTAAATAAAACCCAAAGTTTTACGGAACGTTCGGGGTGTAAAATTAACTTTTAAAAATACCCACCAAATTTTTCGCCCCCGGTTGTAGTCCTTTTTGCCATTTTTAGTCAAAAAATTTGGTAAAATGTCCATGTGATATATGTGAAAAATATTTTATTCAATTCAGACTTAAAAACCCAATATTTTTATTGCATTCAAACTTATGCTGCACTCTGCACTATTTTTTTTTGTGGTGTTGACTAATGGTGGCTGGATTTTTCGTCAAGAGACTTTTTTTTAAATTTTCAAGTCTAAGCCTCAAGCATCGTAGTTGTTTAAAAGGCAGTAGGTTTTTTTATATGTGTGCAAACAGTTTTACCCTACATAACATACACTTTTTGGGGAGAAGGTTGAATAGGACAATGGGGCATTCACTGCTGTTTTCTTATTTAACTCCTTTATGATTTGGGAATCAGCTGGGAAACCATTTGTGGTCCCCCTGGCATGGGGCACAAAAGGTTGTTATTTCTGTATCCCCCCAAAGTGTTGGGAAAAATCAAAAAAAAATCCAAAATGTTAGCTTAGTTCCGGTTACCTTCGTGAGGCAACCCTTTATCTAGACAATATTTTATTTAAGGTAACTTTCTAGCCCAAAATCATTAATTCCTTCTTTTTGGGGAGAAAAAGACTCGTAAGTAAAATACTCCCCAAACTTTAATTTCTATTTCCCTTTGGAAAAAACA